TGTATGTGCACACATCTGCACTTTGTATCTCCTGTTCTCCACCTCCTCTGCCAATGGTCTACACCGAGTCACCCTTGTCCCAATTTCTCATCAAAGTATTACAACAGTTTCTTCACTGGTCTCCCTGCCTCATATCATGTTCTACCTGGATCCATCTTCCTCATTGGCTGCCAGTATGACCCAGCTACAATGTGTTCATTCAACACTCACATATAGAGAGTCTAGCCCAAGCCAGGTACTGTTCTGGACACAGCAGATACAGCAGTGACTAAAACATATGAAGCTCCCGTTGTCTTGAGGTTTATAGTCTAGTGGGGAAAGTGGGATGATAAACCAATGTATGAGATAATGCAGTGGCAAGTACTGTGACTTAAATACACATATAAACTGGGGTGAGGGGGTAGAATGACAAGAGGCTATTTAAGTTGGACTGTTGGGGAGGCCTCCACAAAAAAGAGACTTTTGAATAAAGTGAGGGAGTGAGCTGTGTGGAAACCTGGGGGAAGAACATTTGGGGCCGAAGGAAAAAGCAAATGCTAAACAGTCTCAAGGTGGGAGCATGAACAACATCTTTAGAGAACACAGAGGAAGCCCACGTAGGATCAGGGAGGTAACCGGTGACTGTTTAACACACAGCACTCAGGTCGCTCAGGCTCATTTTCCTAGTCATTTTGAAGTTCACTCCGAGCGAGATAGAAGGCTAGTGAAAAGGCACAACCTCATCTCACTCTTGCTGCTTCTGGAGGAAGAGTCCGTGGAGGAGGGTTGCAAGGGAAGAAGTACGGAGAACTGTTGGGGTATTTCCTGCCATGACAACACCTTTTCCCCTGGTGCCCACCTGAAAAACACCTGCACCACTTTTAAGCCTTGGCTCAAGGAGCCCCTTCTACACGCCTTCACCAAAGCTGCCCCTTCCCAATCTCGAATAACCTAATCCTCTTTAGGTCTCCACTCATCCCATGGACATTTATGTACCTTCACACTCGTCCTTATTTGGCCCCAGGTCTTTTACCCTCATCTCCAGGATGTAAGTTACCTGAGGTCAAGAACCATCCCTGGTGTCTACCACAGCCTATACTACAGTGCCAGGATAATACAAACATTGCTGAATGAATGAGTGACTGCGCTGTTTGCAGGCTGCTGTTAACCAGGGTGAGTGAAGGACACATGTATATGACCATGAGTTGCAAGCAGACAAGTATTAACATATGCCCTCCTATTTCTGTATATTCTGTTCACATGTATGTATGTGTTAATGTACATGTTGACAAACTGTCATGTTGCTATATACACTCCTGTATGCTGTATATTTGTTTACATATGTGTATGTTATAAAGAATACCTATGTTGGCTTATAAGAATTGTGGCTTAGACAAGTAATGCACACACACACACACACATATATGTATACATGTATTGCCTTATACCTAATATATGGTGACTTATGGTTACACTTGGGCCTGCCTAATACAGTATCCTCTGCCCCTTCCTTCCCCTAAGCCCAACTGTTCTTTTTTTTTTTTGGTACCGGGGATCAAACTCAGGTCCTTGCACTTGTGAGGCAGGTGGAAATGAGCTAAATCCCAACTTGTTCTTGATTCTTAAAACTTGTGTAGTAATATTAATGTTTCTCTTTCCATGTTCTTCCTCCCATATACCCCTGAATACTACAGCATCCCAACATTACTGAGCCTGGATTCCTTATTCAGTTGTTTCCTAGGCCTAAACAGATTTTCCCTCTGCAAATCCCCTGCATAAAACTGGTAATAAGTTGGCTCCCCAAGACATGAGAATTTGAGACCTCAAGGAGCCTGCTTTCTAGGCAAGAGCTATGGGCATCAGAGTGGATCAAGTTCAAGTTAGTGGGAAAACAACTTTTGGAGAGTCCTAATGTTCAGTTAGTGTTGTCTCTCTTTAATCCCCAGTACTACCAAAAAGAAAAAGAAAAAAAGAAAAAAAATTTTCTCTCTTAATTCCTGTCTCTCTACAGACATGCATATGATTTATTTTCATGCATGACTCAATGTATGCACATACACTGATATGTTGGCAATTCATGTATGTATGCTATATGTGGCCTCATATCCATGGTCACATTCATGCTTACACTCATATATACACATCAGTAGGAGAGGACACCACACCACACATAACCACACACACATGATTTAATTAATCACCTTCACAGTCATATATATACATGGGTGTACACAGAATCATACATAGATACATGTATATATGTGCCCACACTTTTACATGTAATTGTGCTTATACACATACATACAGCAAACTCACACAAATTTCCACGTATATAGTTAAAGACACAGAAATATCCAGTAGAGTCTACCACATCCACAAAGCCAGAAGTCCACAATCTCTCTAAGTAACATTGCAAGTTTCATTTGCAAACTTGCAAGTCATTCACACACATAAATTGGAAGATGTCTTTTTGTTCTTTCTCTTTCACTTTTTGGGGCCAGTACTCGGGATTGAAGCGAGACAATACTGAACGCTAGGGCTCTCCAAAAGTTGTTTTCCCACTAGCTTGAACCTGATCCACTCTGACGCCTATGGCTCTTCTCCAGAAAGCGATTTCCATTTGCAAACTTCAAGTCTGTATCTGAAAAGCTGTTCCTATTATCAATAGGATATACCCCACTCCTGGACACATCCCATCCTCACTCTCTAAAGAAAGAAAAAAGTCACTTGAAAGAAAAGTGCTGAAATTCCTGTGTCCCACACCAAGAGAAACCAGTATTTGCTCAGACAACTTGGGTGGGAATAAACAAAACTAGTATGTCTTTTCCCATCTAAGAGGCAGTCCCTCCCCATAAAGACCTTTAATTCTAAAAATGGAACTGAAGAGGAGATATGAAGGCAGATCCTTTTCTCCCAATATTTCAAGATATGTCCCACCTTTCTCAAACTCCAAAACAGATACTGAAGCAGAGGAAGAGCAGTAAGAGACTTAGCACTGGTCCTAAAACCTCATAGAATGCCCCTCTACTTCCCTAGAGAGTAGCTTCATGATTTCTAGAAAACCCTCCCAGCCCAGCCTAAGGACCCTGCTCAGGGAGAGAGTAAACCATAAATGTAAAGAGGTTGACCTTGCCCAAAATAACAAAAGAAGCAAGTACTTAAAAAAAAATACAGTAGCTGGTCAGGGAACAGGGAAGCAAGCTGCAGATACCTCCTGGCAGGGAAGCAGTTGCTCAAACACTGGATCATGAATAGCAGGACTCTAAGAGGCCAGAGAAAAGGGGGTGGACATCTAGCGTTCCATGTGGGGGTGGAGGGGTGACTGCTTCAGGCAGTAGCAGCAGCTCAAAAGTAAAGTCTTATCAAAGCTGTTATGTAACCAAGGGAGCGGAGTTGAGCACAAACACCTCCCCTCCCCAAACAGGCACCCACACCCACACCCACCACCTCCCAGCACCCACAGCATAGGAAAACTCAGCTCCTCTCAAGCAGCTAGAGAAAGGAGGGATCATCTTGATGAGTTACATCAAAAACATGATGGGTGAAGGGCTCCTTACTAATTAGAAGTCTTATCTGAGAAGAGAGGAACTGGTTCAGTTTGAGGTCCCTAGATATCACTCCCTGCCACACCCCGTTTCTGCCCAGAATCATCTGGAAACCCTTTGCTTCCTCTCCTTTAAGAAGGATCCCATTTGAATATTTGATTGTGCTCTTGGGGATGGGAGGTGAGCTGCCATCAACTTCTCCTGCCTGTTGTTCCCCCACAGTCTCATCTGCATGTCCTGACATTTGGTTTTCATCCCCCTGGGATGACAAGGAAGGGACCTGGAAATAACTCCTTGCTCTATTCCCCATGGTTACAAAGATAGAGCATAAGGACCCATATAGCTGAGATAAACCGAACCACAGAGAGGTCAATGGGGAAAAGATATCCAGGGGAACTAAGGATTGAAACCAGACCTCATCCCTCACTTTGAATAATTTCTACTCCCCCAGAACTTCCTCTTTTCCCACTGCCCTGTCTCCAGTAGCCTCCTCCTCTTCTCCATGGACTGAACAACCAACCTCACCCACTCCTTGAATCCTTTGCTTAGAAATCTTCCTCCCCAGCAAAAGTCTCTCTTAGATGCTGCATTGAGCTAGGGTTGGGAAGGGGTAGAACACAAGACAGGCTTGCAGAATAATTCAGTATCCCTGACCTGAATATCAAAGTATGGTGAGCAGAGATATCAAGCAATCTGACTGTCTTGAACTTCCAATCTCTATCCATTCCAGCCCTAACCACCAAGACCCAAGACCACCATGTGGCTGAACTTCTGGGACCCAGTAAGGCAAGGGCTGGTGACAGTCCCCTAAGTTTATTTCACTAAAAGTTATCCCAGTAGAGAACTCACAGCCACAATTTCATCGACCCTCTCTACCCCCATACTAACACTAGACAGTTTTGGAAAGAGGAGTGTGAGCTAAAACAAGGTAAAGGGAGTCCCTTTGCAAAATACCACCAGTTACTGTGAGGCCTAAACCCACAGAGACTACGCTCTTAGAAAGTGGGTCAACTGGGAGAATTTTCCTAGTGAGCCCTCAGCGCTACCCAGTTGCCTTTCCATCATCATCCGGAACACAGCGCCGTTCAGCACTCAGGACAGCTCCCAAGGAGCAAATTCCCACCGAGTACCTATCAGCACTCGGGACAGCTCCCAGCGACACCGGCCCACTTGCCAGAAACCCGGGAAGCCAAGGAGAAGCAGGCTTGCTTACCCTACCGCACATCCTCTTTAGAACAGATCTTCTTTCCCTTTCTCCCCTACTCACTCCCATCCACGGGGGCACCTGGGACCTCTCCTTTCCCTGTATGTCCCAAGAAAGAAAAGAAACCCAGATCCGGAGCTTCTCTGAGGGATCCTACAGATAGGACCCCACCTACCTCCTTTCAGCCCTGAGCCTCCCAATGCCACTCACAGCTGGTTTTAAAAAACACTCTCGTTCTTAACCACCATCCCCAAAATAAAAGAAATACTCACGTGGGGGCTCCCAGCCGCGTAGGCAAATGTGCTGGGGGGAGGCACAGAGAGGTGGCTCCCCACACCCTGTTCAGAGCCCCCTTTCTGAAGGAGCCAGCTCCCATCTGGACTGGGGGGAAGACATGTGGAAGCGCTGAGTGAGGGGAGGGGAGCAAGGAGGAGGCAGGAGCAGGGGGACTGCAGGGAGGGGGTGTCGGGATGGGGGCGAGGGAATCCTTTTTAATTTCATTCTCTTCCCATGTCTACATCAGCCCTGCAGGCTCAGCTCTTTAATATTTACACACAAGGAGAAGAGAGGATGAGAAAGAACAGAGAAGGAAGGAGACAGGGCCTATCTGAGCTCAAGGGGCATAGAGACAGGCATCTGGAAGCTTCAACCATGAGACCCTCACATTCACATCCTCCCCAGCCCACTCCCACTCCGAGCTCTTGGCTGAAAGAAACCCTGGAACCATTCTGTCCCTTTGTTAACAAGACACTTTGAAGCTGCATCAGAAAAAGATCAGATCCCCACCCACATACCTGGACACCCCCACAAACCCAGATTTCTTGGGTGCCTTATGTGCAGATGGTAGAGGCAGTATTCATGCAAAGGCATGTTCTGATGCTTGGAAACATGCATGCCTGTGGGCTTCTGTGTAAAAGCACATGAACACGTACAAGTTCTGAGTGTAATCATGCAACAGCCCAGGCAATCAACACAAACTATGTAACCATATGTGTAAACAAGCACCCAGGCAAGCTCTGTCCCCTTCCCTGGCTCTCCGGGTGAAGCCCCAGGGAAAAGGCACCCACCTCCCCAGACTCCTTTCCTCCAAGGCCCCACCATCACAGCCTCACTTTTTCTGTCTGTGACATGGGAAGAAGACCTGGTGGGAAGGTATGCTGCACTGAGCCCAGGGGCCTGACAAGTTATTAGCAATGATGAGCTGGCAGCTTGTTACCATAACGATAGTGCCACCACCTCACCCCAGCTCAAACCCAGACTCCCCAGACGGAAGGAGGCCCGCTGAGCCAGCAGCCTTCAGACTGGAGGGGGGTGGATAAAGGGAATTGAGACATAATGCTTGCATAGTGAGGGTACACAGCTGTTCTTCCAACCCCCCACAGGGAGACAAAGCTTAGACTCCACCAAGTGGGAATGAAATCAGATCTGGGAAGGTTTCCTGAACGTGGGATGCTAAGACACTGGAAGGGGTCTTTGGAAGCCCCTCTGGACAAAACCTTCTGTTGTCATTTGCTGCAAAACTAACCAAACAGGAAACCCCTCACCGATTTTCAAGTCTATTCACCTCTAAAATAGGAACAACTGTGTTTATCATTTTCCCTAAACTCCTGGAAGATTGAATCAGAAAGGGTTTAAGGGTAACTATAAACCCTACCTCAATCAGACAAGCCCGGTAAGTTTCTCTACTCATCAGATGCCCAAAAAGGTAAGGATTTTTCAGCCCCACTAGTGGCAAAATGGACCAGAAACTGGGTGGGATGAAGGAAAAGAAGCTCAGCCAGCTCAAGCTCCAACATCAGCAGGAAGAGATGCGTGGTGCCAGGCAGCCACTGAAAGCAGGCACTGACACAGAAGAAAGTCTGGGTGTTGGGCCTGTGGTAGCTCCAGCCCCTCTCCAGCAGGAGCAAAGACAAGCCCATGACCCACCTATATGGTAGATATGACTGGAACCCCTATCCCCAGAAGTATCTGTAGTTTCCTCTCCTTCAAAAAAGTCTCAGATTTCAAGGAGTTACAGCTTTGGACACATCGAATCTTCATTTCTTCTCCCTAAATCCTTTATACTCAGCTCTGATGGGGGTGGGGAACTCAGGAATAGAAAGCAACATGGAGAGCTGGAAAGTTCCTGGGCAAAGACTAGTTTAGGAACCCACAAGTTTCTTGTGTGACCTTGGGCAGGTCCCCTCCTTTTCTCTGGGCTTCAGACTCCAATTTGTAATTAAGAGGTTGGACCAAGTCATTTCTAAGGTTCCGCCCCTGGCCATCATTTTATAGCTACATACAAGCTCACTCGTTGGACAGGAGCCCCCTAGCACAAAATGCAGTGGGCACTGCCTGCCAGATCAGTGGGGCAGTCAGAGGGGGGCTGTATCTGAGGCTGTTCATCCTATGTCTGTATTCCTTTTAGAAACACCTGCCACCCTAGCCCTCCCAGCTCTCTTTTTAGACCCTGATTCACTGCCAACTCACGAAGCCTCTCTCTCCCCTCCCTCCTCTCTTCTCCCCCTCTCTCTCTTTTAGGCATTGGCAGCTGGGTACAGAAAGTGGCCCCAGCATTCAGGGAATGCTAGGCAGCGATGGAGGGCAGTGCCCCTGTGTCAGAGAGAGCATGCCACGGAGTACCACTCTCTAACCTTGGCCCAGCCCAGTTCCTTGGGTCACCAATAGCCCTGGGTTGGAGTCTTTCCATAACACTGACTAGCAATGTGTGACTATGGCAAATGCAATTCATCTCTCAAGCCTCCATATCCTCATCTGTAAACTGTAATTATATTAGGTTGAACCATGTGAAATGGCTGCTCTTGAAGGTTTAAAAAAAAAAAATTGAATGCTGGCAGTTTCATAAGGTTTAACCTGATAACTGTCCTGCCTCTTTCCTAAGGCTGCTGGAGAAATAAGAAGAGTTGAGAGGAAAGCATTTTCAAAAGTCCTAGACTGACACAGGAGCACTGTCGTATTATTGCTTCCAGAAGCTTAGTAGAGACCCATCTGGCAACATTGGGCTAAACCAGTGATCCACAACTTGGAAATTTGGGGCTTGGACTTGGGGAGAGCCACCTGCTTCGATGACTAAGAAAGGCAGACACTTCCACCTGGCCTCCCTGGCTCCTGGTTCTAACCAGCCCTCAATGAGGCAGTACTGAGAAGACACAAGAAAAAGAAACAGCACACACAGGCACACAGTCTCCACCTCACTCGGTTCACCACCAGCAGGGGTCCGGCATGCAGGAAGGACCACACCAGTAGCCTCACAGAGGATGAGGGTGCAGACCAAGGTAGGGAGCACCAGGAAGCTCTTGTTTGAGTCCACTAAGGAGTCCCTGGGGAGAGGGGATGGCCAGATCTCTGGAAAGTCTGATCTCCCTATCCCATGTCCCACCAGGAATTGGGTGGATGGAGCCCAGGTGTGGGTGATTCAGAGTGAACCCTGCTCAGATACATTCTCTCACAGCCAACACACACATTCGGTCACACCAGGCATAGGTACCTGGACCTACTCGCACAGAGACAGTTACACGGGCACACACGTCAATTCATACACACACCCACAGAAACATATACAGGCCCACAGTGAACACACACATGTGCACAGATACATGTACAGTAACACCCTCCATACTCACTGCACGCACGTTCACCCACCACAGTGGCACACTCACCGGCACACACAATCACCCACAAACCCACACGGTGACACACTCAGACACTCACCACAGACACACCGTGACACACACACTCACACACCTGCAGAGGAAACTTCTCTCCGGGTCTCCCCAACATCACGACTTCTCCCCACAACCAGCCGGCTACTCCCTCCCAGACCGAAGCCTCCGGCCGGCAAGGGCTGGGCGGAGGCGGGCTGGCC